GGCGAAATTTATGGGACCAAGTGCTTTTGGTCAATTCGAGGGTGCTGATTTCGAAAATCGATGTTATACGGGGAATTTAGGGGGCCATCAGCCTCTTTTTCGTGTTCTAAGTCTCGTTTTCGTGTCTTTCATGGAAACAAGCGATAAAACAGTTTATCGATTTTCGAAATCAGCACCCTCGAATTGACCAAAAGCACTAGGTTCCATGAATTTCGCTTTCGGGGGACCATTCCCCTATTCTCCGCCTGGTCTAGTTCTGTTAACTCTGTTAAAGGTTTAGCAATGCTTGCAAATTTTTTGTTAAATCTTCCATAGTATGAGGCTAGCCCCAGAAAAGCGCGAACTTCAGTTTTGCTTTAGTTAGGAAATTTTGCAACAGCATCAATTTTCCTTGGATCAGGCTTTAATCCATCACCACTGATAAGATAACCCAGGTATTAACCTCCAATTTGGCCCAATGACATTTTGATGGCTTTAAGATTAAACCCGCCCGATTCAATCCGTCAAGTACCACTTGCAAGCGCTCTAGGTGCTCATGAAATGTTTTTCAAAAATGATGACGTTATCTAAATAAACCAGACAATGGCTCCAATGTAATCCTATCAATACAAAGTCCGTCAATGGTTGAAAAGTTGTTGGGGCATTTGTTATGCCAACGGACATTAAATTTCTAATGCCCTTTAATGGTTGTAAATACAGTAATTTCCTTAGATGCATTAGCTAGTGCCACCTGCCAATAACCACTTTGTTGTAAAATATTTAGCCCCACCTAATGCAGTCAACGTGTCATCTATGCATGGTAAGGGATAAGGGTCCTATTTTGTGACAGAGTTCACCTTTATGTAATCAATGCAAAAGCAGGTGGAACCGTCAGGTTTTGAAAACAACTGGAGACAACCAGGGGCGTTTTGAAAATTGATGCTGTTGTAAGATGGCCTAATTATTTCCTTTACGAGTAGTTTCTCCACTTCCTTGTCAATCAGACCCTGTTTTGCCAATGGAACTATGTAGGGTGGCTGCCTAATTGGTGTTGCGTCACCAATGTTGATTTTATGCTTAACAATTTCAGCCTGTCTCAAATCAGGACATTTGACGATTTTAAGTTCTCTAAGAAGAGCTAGGAAGCGATCCTTTTTTTAAATGACTAATTTTAAGGTCTTCTTCTGAGAAAATATCATTAGAAACGTTCGTGTCAGTGTTCAACTCCTCTGTTGGAGCATCGTCTACACGAGGCACTTTTTCTTCGATAAATGGGACAATTTCCACGATTTCCTTATTTTTTGGTAAAAATACAGGATAGTCTGTTAAGTTTGTTACTTGCAGCATTACTTTGTCATTACGTGACCTAACTTTAGTTAAAACTCGTGCAATAAACAGTTTATTGTCCTTAGCAAACCCACCTTCAACAAATAAGTCATTATTTTCAATATTATCAAGTAGTTTAGTTTGAATGGCTACAGTTGCCTTCACTGAAATTGGAACGTCAGATACAGTAGAATCGATAAACTCTTATTTGGGCAAAAAAACCTTAACAACAAGATCTGGCATAGTTATTGACAATATTCCAAAATCAATGGCAGCTTTGTTAGCAACAAAGAGTCTTTGCAGAGTCAAACACTGTGTTTGAAAACATGATCGTTAAATTGAATAGAAAATTCTGCTTACCCAACTCGATAAAGGCGTCCCAGTAGCAGCAAACAAATCAACATTATCATAAATCAAAATAGACTTTTTTGCAATTTCATTGTAGATTGTTTTGACATTAATAAAATATCTTCACCATTGTCAATCAACAAAAGAGCACTAATATCATTTACAAAGCCAGCAACATAACCTTGTTGCTTGACTGAGCATCTATTGGAAATAATGTTTATTACTTTCGCTTCTGTTTGTTCCAAATTGGCTCCCATATCTAGTTGATCGTGACTAACCTCTGAATTCTTAGGTACTCAGGGCTGACTGCATTTGTTTTGAAAATGTCCCCATTTTCCACAGTTCCAGCACTGAATGTTATTTCTACGAAATTTTGAGGGCTGAGAATTTTCTTCCCATGTACCAGTAATTTTGGGCCAAGATTCTGAGCCTGGATTCTGGGGAGTCTTGCAGTATTCTGAGCTGAAGAGCAATTATGCGTTGTTGGTCTTGCATTATTCTTCTCATGCCTTCTAGCAACTCTGAAAAGTCACTGTTAGTGGAGCAGGGTTCTTCGGCATTTTTTGAATCGATGGCAAGAACTTTGCTTTTGCCCTTTTACGCAATTATGTGTGAGCTTTCTGATATCCCATATCAAGAAGCTCCGTATGCCAGGGCGAAATATTAGCCTTTACTGATTTATGTGTATTTATTGTTGTGTATTCTCGGCGTATTGCAGTGTTTCTTATTTGCTACATTTTTATAGACTTTTCGCCACAAGAACTCCTTGGAGCCCATCGAGCAGCCTGCTACAGTGACCCTTTCTTCATTCACACATTGTTTCGAAAGTTGGCTTTAAACCTTTGACAAAATATTCGAGAGACTTTTCCCTTGAGAATTCGGGAGATTTTGTGCTCCATCCCCATTGCACTAAATTACAGATATCTTCATAAAAATCTGCCACGGATTCATGAGATTTTTTGTATCTTTCACCCACCAGATTTCTTTATTGTAGCCTTTGCAAAGGTGAATGACCCTCAATTTCCTTCTTTAAAAGATTAGCATCATTCTTTATTCAAGCGACAAAATACGATAAAATTGACTTTCTCAACCCAAAAGATAAAGTAGAAGCATTACCTGTTCCTCATCATGGGTCCAGCCATTTGCAGCAGTAGCTCGATTCCAGCTGTCAAGCCACTAGGATAGGAATCTGATTATTGTTCTGTGACAACAATAGGATTCAGTGACAGATTTTGTTGAGTTTTATAAGGATTCTCAGCTGGAAATGCGAGTTTTATGAGAATTTTCAGCCACTGCAATATCAAGCCTCAAGTCAAGCAGGTGAGACAGTGTTTTTTATTTGTTTTAAACAATTTATAATTTTTTTTCATGATGGAATTGGGCCTTCGTTGCTTATAATCACATCCCCATGATTCTGTTCGCATGTGTTTCGCCTGCTGCTTCTACTGGTGAGTCACCCTTCTACTTCCAGTATGGTTGTGAGCTTCATTTGCCTGTAGATGCTGCATTGATATTGCCTTCCGCTCATCTTTCATCATCTGTCGCTGAGCATAGTGCAGGCATACTTACAAATTTGAAGAATGCACAGTGTATGGTTTCTCCTAAAACGCAGTTGGCTCAACAGAAAATGAAAGAATATTACGATATAAATTGTCAACCAGCTGTTTACGATATCTGAGACAAAGTAGAGGTGTTTACACCGAAAAGCAAGTATCAAAAAAATCATTGCATAATTATCACGGTGCGTACCCTATTGTCGCAAAGGTTTCTCCAGTTCACCTTCGTTTTCAAACTCTAGATAACCGTCCAGTATCTGTTCCAGTTCATGCAAATAGACTAAAGCTATATTGCGATCCGAATTATCGTCCAATCAAGCCACCGAACGATTTTGACAATTTTAGCGATCTCACTGACAATGATTTGACTTCCGATAGTTTTGATAATGGTCTGATACCAGAAGAAACGTCTACGTTGCTGTTAAGAACTACCTTGCTCTCCCAAACCAGGAGGTTTGAACTTAAAGGGCTTATTAAACCAAATTTTCGATAGCTTTTTTATTAGCTACTCTCATAGATTGAAGGTTCTTGCTCTAAATAAAAAAAAACAGAATTTCCTTGTCAATTCTTTTTATTGCGTGTGAAAAACGACACATTACGCATATTCATTGCAAAATCGGAAGTCCTCTTGTGATGTCACAGTGATGAGTCATGATATATGAAAGAATAAGTCACGCATTCATTCATGGCTATAGTAGTAGAAGTAGCATGACAAATTCGATGCGCTCTTCAGGTTATGGTCGAACCTGCATTGCTGGAACATTTGATGGGACCAGTTGCAAGAATACACAGTTTACAGAGGGTATCGCGCTCCATTATTTTCCCGATAGAACTGTAGACAGAACAAGACATCAGCAATGGATGAGATTTGTTTGCCGGCACAGACACAGTTTCAAACCATCAAAATACTCTGCCTTGTGTTCAATTCATTTCGAAGACACGTGTTACACGATGAGAAGGGGTTTAGCCAAAGAGCTCAGAATAAGTGTGTCAGATTTAGAAAGAAGAATAGCCTTTATTTTCTCAAAAAGCAACACACTTTATTGTCTTCAATCCACCAGATTTTACGAACGACACTTGACAAAATGGAGCAACAAGATGAAAGTACTGACGATGAAGTTGCAGCTGACATGGGTGCCAATATTTTATTAACATTAAATATTATATACATTTCTGTATCTGTATTTCCAGAAATTTATTTTAATTTACAGAATTTTCCTTTTATTTGCAGTCAAATCAAGCTGGAAGCAGTAATGCCATCGAACTGAGTGCTGCTAAATTGTGCTTTCAGTATCTCAATGATTGTGGTTTGCATGTCTCAAATTTTGTAAGTGACCGGCACAGAGGCATTGCAAAGTGGATTAGGGAGAAACAGGCACAAAGCATTTCCACGATCTCTGGAATATGGTCAAAGGAGTTTCAAAAAAGGTTCTACAAGCCATTAAGGAGAAAGGAAATGAAAATCTTCAGGGTTGCCTGAAAGGTATACGGAGTCATCTATACTGGTGCGCTGTGTCAACAAAGAAATGCACAACAGCGTGTGTCAAGCAGTGTCAACACAGAAATGTGTTATTGCCAAATGGAAGTCGTTGATGCGACACATTTCAAATAAACATACTGACCACCCCGATCAGCTTTTTGACAAATGCACTCATGGTCAACTCCAGCGACGAGAGTGGCTCAAGACAGATACCCTTGCAGTATCGATACCCTCTGAAGCTTATATATTATGCTTATTCTTTATATTCACATTCACACAAATGTATATTATGGTGAACATGATTGGTGCTTTTGCTGTCATAAACTGGGGTGCGATCTCAACCAAGTGCATTATTTATATATATATTGAGATTTTTCTTTTCCCACTAAGGTTATATTCAGGGTTCTGGGAAGATTTCAACATTTTCCTTATTCCCAATATAGTTTCATTTGTGTCCCCCTGTTTCAAATTTGATTGATTGTAAAGGTTGGAACATAATAATGAATGAATCTTACTATACTGTATTCACTTGTTGCTGCCGTATCTTCTTGTCCTAAAGGCACATTTTGTTAATTATCCAAATTCAATTAGTAAATAAATTGTAATACCCAGTTATTATTATTCTAAAGGATCTGCAGCACATGAAAGGTTACACACCATACTTATGAATGCAAATCTATTAAACGATATAAAGATGGCCTCGTCAGATGCTCAAACAAGTTGTTTGGAGAGCTTTCACTCAACTTAAATCATTGGCATCCCAAAATGACTCACTTTTCATGGCTCGGTACTTTCTGTAGGTAAGTAGAATAACAAATTGCTTAGCATAATCTTTAAGCTGAATTCACACTGGACGCGTCACGGCGCGGCGCGTCACTGAGCGTCATCGAGCCTCGCGTCATGTACTTCTTCATGCTATTCACACACGATGCGTCATCAAGCGGCGTGTTTTCTGTTTTCCCATGCTGTTCACAGCAAACTTGCAAAATTCTTCACAAGTTGTACTGTTTTCCTTGCATTGCAAAGTCAAGCTGGACATTTAAGTTTGCTACAGAAACGGATCAAACAGTAATCTGAAGCTAATATATCAAAAACAGCATTTTGGCCAAAAAATGAGGTATTCTAAGTCTCGTGCAGTTTCTTTAACATTTCGGTTCGAGAGGTTGGCCAATGTTTTGACAGGAAGACGATTCTCTTCAAGCATTCATTATAGAACCGAAATTTTTATTGATATTAAAGATTTGGAAGGTCTACTACAATTAGCAAAATGTTTGGCTTTACAGATTTATGGGGTTTCCCTTCCTGCCAAAATTCGAGGGAAAATTAAACAGCTTATTTTTATCAACACTCCCCAAAATTTCCATGAATTAAATTCCTCGGAAGTACATCTTTGGGAGGTATTGAAAGCTAAACGGAGAGTGATTGAAATATTTTTTTACCAAAACGGAACATACAATGACTCAACATCATTGTTGAATTGAACATCAACGTGGCAACTTTATAGACAAAGACACTAAACACGAATAATACTGTTACTTATCACAAACTGATAAATGTGATTTGTTTTTGTTACTTTCAGAATTTAGCCCCCCCCCCCCCCGATGCTTTAATCAGAGAGACTCATCAAAATATACTTCACCGTACAAGCAATACAGTTTTATAATGGCCTATTTCAGAAGCTCCTTGTTTACGTTTCTGGCTGTCATGTCGTCTGGCTCCTTGTTTATTCTCCAGGTTTTCTATTGTTCTGAAGCGTCACCGAGCGTCAAAGTTAAATTTATTTAACTTTGAATTTCGTTGACGCGTGGCTGAAAAAACGCGCTGCGTGCGCATAGCTGCCGAAAATGCTAACCATATTTGGTCAGCGTCATGACGCGTCCAGTGTGAATTCAGCTTTAGGCATACTAAGGAAATCAGATCAAATTAACTTTGGGTATATACAAGATGATTCATTATGTAGTTTTGTTTGTATCCCAAAGTTCCTGAATTTATCAATTGTTTATGTAAGGGCATATTGCATTGTAGTGAAACTTATCATCCTTTATCATCCTTTATCTATCACATGATTTATCTTTTGTTCAAGGAGGCATATTTTGGCAATACTCTATTTCAACGAGAACCTTCGCCGTGAGAAAAAAAACCAAAGATGGAGCAACATATACAAGTGTAACATATCCAAAATATAAATTTGGTGAAGAATTAGTTCGAGAAATTGCAGTTCCTCCAACATATGGTAATTATAGTCATTATAAAGGTGTCTTTGAAAAAGATATTGTCACTGAATTGTAGAATTAACATCGCAAAGATTCTTTGAGCACGAGGAGTATGTCTATTCAGTAACAAAGTTATAATAATTTGTCTTTATGGTAGTTTATGTTGGAGAAATCAAAGATGTGTTGTTTTCGACCAGTGAAAAGGACAAAAGTGAAGCTCTTGCTTCATACCTCGATCATCAGGCCCAGCCATTGACCACACAGTTTGGGGAAAGACTGTCCAAAAGAGATACAATGGAGCAACAAATGCAAAGACGGACAACTACTACCCAACTGTATCCACAAAGTAAGTGGAGTAAGATTAATTGATTTGATTTTCTAAAGTGAACAACATAATAATGTTTATAAATACTAAAGGAGGTATGCCAGAATTTTGATAAAATTCAACTTAAATGCCAAAAAGATGGTTGGTATATCCTGTGTGACAAAATCTATTTACTTGTTTAAAAACAACACAATCTTGAAAGCAAATATTTTTTGTAGATCAAGATGTTTTTTGTTTATAGAGCCAATTTAAAAATATTTTTGTAAGGGCCTTGACAATTTGATGCACTTTGCCAATTCTTCATAGTTCACAAAGAGACAAATTTGGAAAAGTCTCTAGCTGTTGCTGCTGCTAAAACCCAGGCCAGAAAAGGTAGACAGTGCCGTAAATGTCAATGAAAGGTCATCCAAGAGGACATTGCAACACTACAGAGATTAATGAGGATTAATTAGAGTAGTTACTCTAAGGTGCCTTATATGCCCCCTTATTTTTATTTTTTATTTTTATTCTGATATGATGGTATGCACAGGCAGGCATTGGCCTTGTGTTGTCCCATCCAAGAAAACCAAAAATGTAGCGTATCACCCATCTATTAGCAAAAGCTCTAAAATAAATAAATAAAAGAAGCATATAAGATGAAGTTGCCCATGATTTTTAATTATAAGGGTATTGCCCAACAAACATGAATAAATGTTGGATGTAGGCAATCAATCTACCACATGTTTACATACAGTACATCACTATTGTCAACATTACTTTCTAGTTTTTGTTACATTTGAGTCCCATTTGGGCTTCCAGCTTCAAGATAAGGCACTGCAAACTGTTTGTTTAACTTTTTTAGATTTAAAGATGTTAATGGTCATTAAGAAATATTTGTATGCTAGTTAACAGAATTGGGCATCCCCCACCCCCTTATAACAGATAATTTCATTTGTCTCCATTTAAAGCATCTGGAAAGATAATTAGGGTGACAACAATTCCAAACAACTGCTAACTGCCTTAGGTAGCCTCTTGTAGGGCCAAATTGACACTGCGTTGAATGTTTATGTTTAGGTCTTGACCTAAGGCAACAGATTACAATGCTTCTGATTCATATTTGAATTTAAAAAATGAAAAATGTTCCTATTTCAGTTTTTGTCCCCTATGTGTTAATCTTAGTGCATTCCAGCTAAGTTTATATGACCATATTCTGTGAACTGGAACGAAAATTATTTGTCGATTTACTTACTCGTTTTTTGGATGACCGGCCCGTTGCTTGGAGACTCTGCCATTAAGGCCTTTAGCAGTGTACCCAGGTGAGAAAGCACCACCGTCTCTGTCAATTTTTTATAATCCTTGTGCCCTGTTATGCATTTTATCCTCTCAATGCTGCCATCAGTTGCCAATTTATCAACAGCGGCATTGACCTCTGAGCAACATCGGTATTCTCTAGCACCATTTAGGACCGAATCATTGCATTTTTGGCATTTACACCTGGTGTTAGCAGAGATATACAATTTAATCAATAATTTAAAGAACAAATAGAAAACAAACGTTGCTTACTCACCCATCGACGTTTGGAAACATTATATGAAGTGAACGGAAAATTTACTAGGCCAGCTCGGTTAGGCCCATTGGTCGGCACACGACAAGGGCAAAAAACAATGTTGGTAAATAATCCGGGCCAGTCAATTGGGCGCCCAGAGAACTTCTTCAACTCTAATTTGGGCAGTTTTGCACGAACCTTGTTGAACTTCGTGGAGGAAACGCTGCCATACATCGACTTCCATCTCTGTCATCATTTTCCGAAATCAGTTCCAAAATTTGCTCATCCCCGATTTTTGCTATTATTTGAGAGACGTACCCTCTGTAGCCACCTCTGATTTTTCTTTTCCTTGAGATTTCTTCCATTTTCAAAAAAATTCACCATAGACAATATCCGTTTCGCTCGACGTGGACCATTTGTTAAGACTTTCGCCTATCTTTCGCTGGTTCTACAGATAGTTGTCGGTGTCCAAGAGAAAAGCCAAGAAAAAGAATCCTTTTAGCGTTCAGCAATCCTTATTCATCACATAATTCTCGTTTCTCTAGGCTTGAATACCGATACTACTGGTAATTTCACATGTTTTTATATGTTCCAACAAGGAATTAACGAAATATGAACCAATAACAAGCGTTCTTACAATTTACATAAATTTTTCATGTGAAAACTTATAACAAGCACGGGTTGGATAATTATTAACTGGCCTCATTTTCACGAGGAGGAATTTGCGTATAAACGTTAACTAAACAATACAAACTGCGTAAAACAGCTATGATTAATTCCTATTTAAGCATTTGATAGTGCAAGCATATAACCACGTACTGTGGAATCTACGTAAACATGACGAACACGGAGCCATGCTGCAAAGCAAGGGTTACTAAATGGATAAGAGGGCAGGGAAAATCCACAGAAGCTTTTCATTTTTAAGAGGGTACAAGAAAAAAGATAGATCTGGATTCTTGGAACTGGGACAGCTGCAACCGTTAACTGAACAATAGCTTGGCATATTGTTCAGTTGCAAACGATTTTAAATTAAGGTGTAAGAATAAAATAGTCGAATAAATCCACCAGTTGAAATGCAATGAACGGATGACGAACAGCAACAGCCTAAAAGATTCTGGAACAAATTTTCCTTCTGTTGCACGGTTATCAGAAATCAGAAACTTTTCCAATCGAAGGTACAAATAAAGCAATGTTAGTAGATTTCAAAATGCCAGCGAATATAATAAACTACTTCGTAAAGCCCAGAAAAATCAATTGTAAATCACAACAAAATCGCAAGATACATTATGTTTACGCTAGGAACAAATCTGGTTTGCCTCATTGCTACCTGGTAACCAAGGCTAATCGCTGTTAGCCAATCATCGGCCATATCCGGTTTAAGTGCGTATTAGGCAATTGTCCTTCAAATAAAGGGAAGATTCAAATTTGTGGTTTTAACTAATGAATTTTTCTCCACTCCATTTCTAACTTGTTTTTCAATTCTTAAGCAAAAATTGTGTTCCCAATGTGATAAAGTTTCACAGACTTTGTTGTTAGCCAGAAAACAGTTCCATCATACTTGTTTTTATACCGTGGGAAAGTTGTTCATTTGTTTACAGATGTACTTTCTACTGCATCAATTTCTATGTAAAGTTTTCCTGTTGTTTTTCTGCAGTAATTTGATTTTGCTTGATTAATTTAAGTAACGCTCTAAATTAAACACTTGATTGAATTTTTTTCACTAAATGCATGAAAATTTCACACATGAAACTCTTCTTGCAACTATTTACGAAAAGGGCACATGTCTTTTCCAGTTGAGAAATAGCATTATGCCATTTCATTGCAAATTTGAATTGTTGCCATATCAATGATCCAGCTATTAATGTTTAAACTATAGACAATATTGAATGTAGCTGTCATTTCAAACACTGTTTATCTCAATGTCAGAGGATTTCATCAAAATGCTATATACTGATTTCTTTTGGAAATTGGATCCCTGTTGACATGCATGTTGGCCTGACAGTGCCATTTGTTTTTTCAAACGGAAATACAACTTACATTTAAATGGCTTTGAAAAAAGCAAACATTTAGTAAATTAAAGCTTTTCGTCTGACACTCTTCAGAGTTTAAAACGTCAGAAAATAGATCGAAAACTCTATGCTTAGAAATATATATACACCCAGTTGTGGATCGAAATAGGCCAATCAGAAACACGGGCACATGACTGTAGAGGTTGACCAGTCAGTGCCGCTGGCCTATTAGAATGTTACCAGTGGAGTCCTAAGGTGAAAACGAACTCCTTTTGTCTACACAGTAGCGGTTTTTTTGTGCTTATGTAGATAGATTCTAAAACTGCTAGGTGGAACGACGATCGGGCTTTTCCAATAATCCGAAACATGTTGCCATTATAGTTTTTTGCACAATCTGGGTTTTCTAGCAAATGCTGCCCGATAGCAGAATCGCAGGTTTTAGTAGTAATTTTGGATTTGCAAGAGCGAGGTGGCTGTTCTCTTTAGGGATGTGTTTTGTTTCTAATATTAGATGGAACCTGTTGTTTTATCCTATCCTCCAATCTTTGGGTGGTGCATCCTACGTAGCCAGAATCACCCTGGCACGTAAATTCATAAACAACAGATCCTTTTTTTGTGGCAGGAACGCAGTCCTTTTGAATGGACGGAAGGGCCTTTTTTGTACTGTAAACAACACCTGGGTTAACCGCGAAGAAACAATTTGTTATGGCCTGTTTTATTTGGCTTTCAAAACGTAGGGAGCTGTTACCGATCCAGGGTAGTTTTAGACAGACCGGACACTTTTGAGGACCAAATTTTACGTCAGCTGAGAAATTTCCTATCTTTTCCTTAATGTAAACTGAAATAACATTTTCTGGATAGCCGTTCTCCAGAAAAATCTTAGTTAGTTTTTCAAGTTCCGAGTCGAGTTTAGACTTGGAACAAATCATCAGTGCCCTATGTGTAAGCGTTTTGATGAGGCTGATTTTTTATTTTTTTTGGGCAAAACGAACTCCATCGAGTGTATAACCCCAAAAATGTGTGTTAACGGTTTACACTGGTGAGAAATCCAGTGTCAGATTTTTCAACCAAAACATCCAGAAATGCCAAGGAGTTATTTTCTTCCTTTTCAAATGTAAAATGTAGGGCTGTGTGAAGACCATTAAAGGTATTATGAATCGAAAAATGATTTTAACCTAATCGATAGAACTCACTTTGCTTATTCGTACTGTGGTATCCATTTGCTAAACTTTAATCGCGTTTATTCTGATAATTCACTCCAAACCCTCGATTTTGCTGCACTACGAACTTCAAAATGTGGCCTACTTCAAACGCGGTCAAACCGCTCTGCCCTTGTCTCCTGTGACGTAAAGTGTTTGACACATTCTCATTGCCTACGTAGCAAACAAGTCGTCAATACGACTACACCCACCATCAAATAAGCTTTGTTTCCTGAATTTTAGGTTCCAAAGTGCC